GTTGAACTGAAAATAGTTTGTTTTATATGTAGTGATGTCATCGTATAACGATATTATGCTGAAAGAAAGTTCATAATTATGATTTTGAACATCAATCCGATCACAGAAATTAGTTTTGTTTTGGATTTGAGAATAGTTGAATCGTTGCGTTTATCACTCAAATTTGAAAGGTTTAGCAGAGTTCTGGACGAAAAATTTCAATTAATTCACATTTTCAGTTGTTCTAATGTAATGAAATTCTCGTCCGATTGTATTTGTCTCACGATCATGCGTCATTTGATGCTTTCGATTGTGAACAGTCGCACGTTTTTAATCATATTCGGTATCAAGTTCATTCAACACAATGAACTAGTCAAACATTTAGGTGTATAGAATGTGTATCATAGATTCAAACTGATGAGAATACTTATCCATTTGCTGCTTTGCTTAAAAACACGATTTTCATTCGAAAATAACATTGAAAGCAACATTTTAGACTATAGCGAAAATCTTTAAAGAACTTCCCGTTCGCCGTCAAAAAAATCCATGTTTTCGTAAGCTTTCAATTTAAAATTTAGTCGTTTTCGAAAAACAATAACACTCTCATTCTACGGTTGCGTGCGTCTTCAATGAAAGAGCACTCGAGAAAGGAAGGAAAACCATTCAATAAAACATACTGATCATTTTGTTGCTAAGCGATATTGAATCCATTTTACAGTGAAAATATGTCATCAATTTCATTTCATCTTCAAAGTTCCTGAATCTCGACAAACACATTGCTAGACATCAATCACATCGTGGTGATGTCGTTTTTACATTTCTTTGTTGTTTACATCTTCATTGTACTTTTGTATTCGTTAATTGTTTTCGCTTTCCCGTTATTCTGTGCTTCTTACGTTCACAAAGTTCGCTCTCGGCTAGTAAATACACAACTAATCCTACTAATATCATTACGAAACATTAATTTTTCTGTGCTGCTCATTATTTACTGTTCCAATCGGGTCGATCGTTAGCAATTAAATGATTATTTTCATTATTTTCGAGCCGTTCATGCCATATTTTAGCGAGAAAAACCCGTAGATGTAGTGCTAGTGCTATTTACTGGCACTGCAACGAACATGCTCAGTTATAACGTCACTTTACGATGAAGTGATTAGACTGTTTATCAAGAAATTTGAAGTAACAATATGCGATATCTGTGTCCGTTAGCTGATTAGTTTCAGTTTCTTTCTCATTAGAATGAAACGTGTCTGTTCTTATTCGAGGCACTTTATTAGGGACTATTGTTGAGAAAGGATTTGGCCACTGAACTCAATTCTTTTAAGCATGATGTATGCAACATCCTCCATTGAAATTCCTTTATTTCTACTCAGTTATAACAATCGACGCTTATAAAATCTTCATTTTTAAATTCATTTCCCAAACTGACTTGTCTTCTTAAATTATATCCTTCATAGAGAAATATGAAACGTCATTCTTTTTCTCCATCATATATTAGCGTTTATATACTGAAGTAATATTTACTAAAATTATCTTATCTAGTAACCTAGTGGCGCAGTCGATTTCGATAGTATTTTCAGATGAATGTTTGCAACAGCGTTATCCCATCTACTAATAGATTGCCGTCCGTCATTCAAAGTGCTATCTTTAAAGGTATGTTGACACAAACGAGTAATCATTTAAAGTGTCACCGCATATTTACATGTCCACACAACTTCCTCTAAATACCACTTGAGTTCTTGAATGACTAATTTCAAAGTCATTTTGCAGAAGATGCACAAACCTAACAGTCTTTATTCACATTCACTGTTGTTCATTATTATGAAACATATCGCTTTATACACACCCAACAATACCAATCTTTGTCAAACGAGCTGGAACTACTAGTTTTTGGAATCGCTTTTCCCAACTCATAATATTCTAGAAACAAGATGTTTTCGGCTTAAAAAATTCTGCGGATGCAATCGATACTATCAAATTAATAAAAAACCTCAATGCTGGTTAAGCGAGGGCCAAAAGCTGAGAAATTCGATATCCCTCACCATTGACAAGATTGTTACTAAGGATTTCATCAAGTCGAAGATAATTTCGAATGAAATTTTCTTTTAACTTCGTTCTTATCAGTGTCCTCTCAAGCGTTCAACAAGAACTCATTCTAAACTTCCAATAATCTCAGTCATACTCGATAAAAATTTAGCTCAAGCACAATACTGTAGATTGAAATGTGCTGTATAATAAGTAATCTGTAAACAATACTTCTGATCATTTGAACAGATGCAGAATGCAATCAGTAAACCAGAAAGGATGTTTGCAGTAAGTCGCCTGTTTGTTCATAAGCATTCCATATTCATCAATTGCGTTCGGATGAATAAACAAAAACGTTCCTGCAGTGAATGATCAACAAGCAGTGACGAATTGTGATTCATGAGCGCATGATCATTTTCCATAATCGTTGTTGTTGACGGTCATAGACGAGATGGTATCTTTGAAATCTGTCATTGAGTAGTTTTATCAAATTCAGCCTACATGAATTTCATTATCTGTGGATTACTCACGAACCACGAATGGATTTGAATGCTCACAACCAGCTAAATTAACATAAAAACAAACACGCGTTGTCATTATAAATGTTTTCATCACTGTATTGCATAATCATAGAATAATAAATATTGTTTGTATTAGATTTCATCACTCGTTCGTTATTTATGACTCATTTCATGATATTTTGGCTGTTTGCTGGAAATGTTCAAAGAACTTCTTGTTCATAATATTGTGCAATATTTTCCAGTTATATGGTTCACCAGTTGATCAATTTCAATTGTTCAATTGTTGCATTCTCACATTGTTCTCAGTTTTCGCTGCTTTTCTCCTATTTCCTTGTCTGTTATTTGCTTTTGTGATATACTCAAAATGAAAAGTTAAAGTGAGTGCATAACGGAGGAAGCACAAGATAGCCGCGCTAGTGAAAAAAACACGGCATTCTCTCATGGTCAGGAACGACTTGTTCAAATAAGACGGCTGAAAACAGCAACGTATTTTCACGAACAATTCCTTTGTTCGTGAAATTTTTTTCCAACAATGCGACGAAGAAAAATTTGATGTTGATGTTTACATTAGTTATGTATCATGAAATGTGATCAGATGTGAGATCAAATTCACAGATATTCCATCAATAACAAAAGTGGCTGCAAAGCAATTTGCTATTGATAGTGTTTAGATTTCAGCGTTTTTTTTCAGCGTTTTTCAGCGTTCAGCATCGAGGAAAGACTGAGGAATGGCTTTAGTGTCTTCAAAAATCTCTCGATCCATATGAATCCGCAGCGATTAAGGTATTTAACGACTATTTTTGTCGGTTTATTTTCTGGAAATCTGCCGTTTTTTGTGATCATTTGACAGACAATACGAGAGATTTACTTTAAAATCAAATGTTATTTCTGCTGCGTGCTGCCTTTAAAGTGCTTCGATTATACTCCATTCCCATTTTCCATAAAATCGCAAAATGCTCTTTTTTGCCTTGTCTTCGTTTTTCCTAAATCCCTTGAACAATCTATTCCAATGATCCAGTGATTTTTTTCGCCAGTTCAAAAAACCTCTCATCATATGCTGCACCGATTCCAGCTGGAACCAATCGAGCTGGTATCAAAATGTCAAATATATTTGAACCAATCGAGCTGCTGTCAAATTTGCTTTTTCTTATAAGTGTTCACATATGAACAGCAGCAAAAATGGAACAATGTCCGAAAAAAGTGGACTTGCCAAACGAATATCACCCTCATCAGCCAGCAAAAGCTGGGCGTTTACAATCACGGAAGTGTAGGGCGGGCGAACGCTTTCTGGACTGAATTATATCTAATAACTGTGTTGTGTGATCGATCCAGTTGGTCGTCGAATGAGGTCCGCGATAATCTCCTTGCAGTGCTGAATGCAATTCGTCCATATATTCATGGCTTTTAAGTGACTCCCATTGTTAATAAATTATCCATCAATGCAGCGAACTAAATGCGCATTCATTTTCAGTTCTGATCAATTCACATTCGAATTCATTAACAATAATAATAATAATGGTTTAAGGCTGTGATTACAATTCCATCTTTGAGTGGATGAATAAACGAATTTCTGAACTTCTTTTGAAGTTCGATGATTCAGTTGAACGGAATAAAGTACGCGTTGAAACTTTTTACCCTGAACGGATTAATTATCGAAGATGATTCCTTGAAGGTCAACTTGATATGCATGTGCGATCATTGTATTGAGTATTTCTCCTCGTTTCGTTTCAAAGAAATGTCCCCTTTGTCCGTTTGAGATCCTCTACTTTAGCCTCCTAAATCTAATTCAATCGAGAATTTTTCTGATCAAGTAATTGTCGTTGTTGATGCGAGACGGCGAATCATCTGCATCATTTTTGAACTGAACATTTAGGTCATTTTTGGTATTCATAATTATTTCTGTCATCATTATGATCATTATTATATTGTCATTATTTACATGCATAAAATGCTGATAGCTCTCGAATTTGACGATCTTTTATTTGGTTTGGTCCCAAATGAAGAACCAAAATTGCGCAACCCATTTTGTAAACCACAAGCAATTATTCTAGATGATCAGTTTCGTAACATTCATAATATTATGTGAATTTGCATTTGCCCAGCAAATGCGATCATCTCAGTCATTTGCATGTCGCATGCGACTTAGGTAGGTGTCCGTGATTTGATCACGTTTGCGCTACATGCGAGCATGTTAGGCATGAGATGAATGATAATTCGATGAGATTAAACTGAGCAAGTAGTTTCACTCTTATTTAAAGCGAATGGATATTGATGACTTTATTTGTGGTACTCTGCAGTATCGTGATATGATGTGTGCATTACGCGAGCTGTAAGTGACGATTCCGCGTACTTCATGAAACTCATTCATAAATTTTCTTCGCCATCTTCAGGCAAGTAATCAGTTCCTCATTACAAGTCTGTTCGCGGAGAAGTATTGCTGAACACAGACGATCTCTGATCGATCCGATAGTATTAATGATGGTATCACGCCGCCGTTCCGTGCAATACAATGATTTCGATGTTAACGACATGATAAGGCGTTTGTTAGCCGTTAAGTCCTATCAGAAATCATTGGATATAAGCGAGCATGAATTGAAGATGATCTGCAATCTGTCAAGATCCATATTCATGAGTCAACCGATGTTACTCGAACTCGAGGCTCCACTCAAAATTGCTGGTTTGTTTTCCTATAATTCTTTTCATTTCTTTCATTGCTGGACAGTTTGGATCTTGGCGAAACATGCAGTGGTTTTCGTCCGGCATCAAATTGTGAGAACTCTCGGAACCAGTTGACGAAAATACTCATTTTTTAAAAAATTTTGCCCTTCACGATGACCTCTTGAAGATATTGATAATATGAAAGTAGGTGATAGAGTTGTTTAAAAGCCACAAGTTCCGTTGGGGAAGAATTATTTCAAGCGTGGTTTCATTTGTTTATATTTAAATGAATGCTACAAAACCGCAATTTTCTCTCTTTATTTTCTTAGGGTAATATATGAGCTAATCGTTCATAGTGCTAGTGTAATCAAGATAGTGAAATATCTCATCTTTGGAGATACAACATTTGTTCTTCGATCACTGAAATAATATTCGATACTCTCTCTCTAAGTTAAACTTTTCTTCATACACATCGATCACGTGTGTGTTTTGTCGAATGCATTCTCGTCATGCGGATATTAGAGAACAGCTGCCTTCAACATAGTCGAACGATGTACGATAAGCTTTGCTCTTAGAACGTAGGTGATGTAATTCAGTCGCTGATAAAGTACAACATTAAGGTGATATTCATGGTCAATACTGCGATTTGCTTCGACTGTTTGACCTTTGCGGCTATCCGCCTGAGTCAAATTACCTCTTCTTAGGGGATTATGTGGATCGTGGACCAAAGAGCATCGAGGTTACTTGCTATTCTTTTTTCACGCGTAGTTCTTGCAGCTGTAATCGTTTCGATTCACTCATTTGAGTCGAGATAATCAAAAAGCGAAATGCGTCATAAGCAGTTTCTAGCGTCATGAAGGGTTTCGCAAACCAATGATTTTCTATGGGTTCTCATTTCATTGTTTTCATGGCAGAGAGACACATTGCTACACATAACAATATCTTGCTCATAGCTCGTAAACATCAAAAATTCATCAGATAAATGAGTTCGAATGGACACACTTCTTTATACAAACAATTCGCATATGTTGTGAATTGATTCATAATGAATAAAGGCATAATGAAATCTGTGATCACAAATTTTGTTGGAGAATTCAACCAATCAAGGAATATTGATTGTAATCATGAATGATAGTTGGTATAAACATAAGAATGAGAAAGTTGTTTCGATGTTTCCGCATTACAATCACCACATTTGCGACTGAAATATAAAGAGATTTGTTGATGGAATCGCTTCTGGGGATGACCTTCGAAGAATGTCATTAATCTGATATCGTTATTACGATTATTTGTAGTAATATTAGAGGTTTTACATGAACATCGATGGACACATTATATCATCATACATTAAACAGGGATTATCATATACGCGCCAGCCATAAATTACTGTTTACGAAACAAATGTCCTATTTTTACTGACTATGAGAGCGAAACCATTCGAAAAAAGTGTTGCAGAAAAGTGCAGTTTCTGCGGCTTATTGCATTAAATTTCAATATTTTTCCCGATTAGCTGAAATCAATTTCCACTCATCTTGACATTCTCTCACTGTTCACTACGTTTTAGCTATGTGATCTGTTAAAATTGATGTATATTTCAGACAATTGCACTTCTTTTGTGCTACAAAATCAAATATCCGAAGAACTTCTTCGTGCTGCGAGGTAATCACGAAGTGGCGAATCTGAATCGAATCTACGGCTTCTATGATGAATGTATATTTCTGATGATCTTATCGATAATAAGCGATTGCGTGAACGCATCAGATTGTTTCTTAATATCACTAGTGTATCGCACGAGTGCTTATACAATCACTCATTCACTGCCTTGTTAAAGTAACTCAACCATGACACCTATCACACGAGTCATAGGTGTCAATAAATAGATACTGACTTCAATACAGCAAGAAAATAGAGGTCATGTGGAGTTTATTTTCGCAAATGTGCGTTGAAGATATGAATGATTTCCTCTTGCTATCCTCTGCAAAAGTTTAATTGTAAACATCGAATGCTATGAAAAGAATGTTTGAAAAGAACTGCACTTTAAGAGTTCGAAGAAGTAAGCGAAAATTAGTAACGTTCCGAAAAACGACAGCAAAATGTTGTTGTCGTTTTTTTAATACACACAGAATTTTCATGTTTTGAATCTGATTCAAAATCAGTCATTAGTTCAAGTATGAATTGTCATGTCACTTTATTCGATATGATCACGGATCACGCAGCATTATGCACCATTTCATGAAAGACGCACAAAGACTGCATCTGCAGTATGAAACAGAAAGGAATCGTTGATGCGCCCAACAAAAGATTAGAAGTGCAGTTCTATATTTCAGTTGAAGTGTACTCTTTTGTCTGAACTTTTCATCGCACTAATCTCTGTTCCCAGAAAACTTCGAACCTATAGAATGTGTCAATCAATGAGTGAATGTAATGTGTTTGGGCGAAAACTTTCATTTTTTTGTTCAGAAAACTTCTAAAATTGATTCGAAATGAATGAGTACTACTGTGAACAGTTGAAATTTGTCAATAGCATATAATACATACAACGCATTCTTATTGTTACTGTTATTAGGTTATGTTTATCTTGTAACTCCCATCTGTGCAGTCATCGATAGAGCGATAAATTGTTGAGCAAATAGACAAATGAGCAAACATCAAGTTTCAAATCTCAATGTTTTTATTTCCAAATCTTCAAATCGAATTCCATTAGAATGAATAAAGCAACGGTCGAACAAACAAGTACGGGTGCGAGCACTCATCTTGCAAAAGATCGAATTGATTCAAAAGCATTCCACTGTTTCAGGTAAACGACGGTGCAGTATCAAAATCTGGCGATGTTTTCAAGACGTCTTCAATTGTCTGCCGGTTGCAGCGTTAATTGAGCACAAAATATTTTGTTGTCATGGTGGGTTGTCACCGTCACTGAGAAGTCTCGAGCAAATCAAACGGATCACACGACCGGTTGATGTCCAAGAAACTGGTGAGATTTTCCGGGATTTGTTCGGTTGCGATTGCTTTTTCTTGCCAGGAAACATTTTGAACAGTCAACAAAACTACAATTTCAATTTCTTCCCACCACTGGTCACAGGATTTAAATCTGTATTAACATTTCTAGTTATCATTTCATTTCTTGTGCTTCTTCTAGTCATCCTACCGGAGACTTTTTCAGTTGTAAATCACTTCGAACATACCATATCATTCGAGCACGGCATGTAATGTCCATTCAATATCTTCCACAACTCTGCGATTCTCGAGTCTGCGATGCTCGCTGTTCAGTTTAGAATGTACACTTCATTAAAAAAGCATCCATTTAAGTGTTTTATTTCACTGATGAAATATTGAGTGGTATAAAAATAGACAGGAAAGAAGAGCTGCATTCAGAACCCATTTGGATTTGATCAACCAGCACTTAATTTGAACATTCAGCACGATCCAAATTTCTGGCTTTTTCACAATCGTCTGTCTCATTGCTTTTTCCCCATCAGCGAATTAGTTTCTCTATGAAATGTGCAGATACACACAGTATTGAACGTCAAAAAAGCGTTCATCAAAGTGTTCTTCTGCTCTAAGTTAAATGCGCCAGTAATTTCCAATTATTCTAATAGCAACGTCAGATAAAAACTGACACAAATATGAGCGATTCAGTTAAGTTTTTGCGAGTCGCTGTATGTGACTGTTTCTATGCACGTATCTAACTTACTTCCTGCTCATCTCTTTTCCAAAACAAGAAAATGGTTTACCAGAACTTTTTGTTTACAATGGAAGTGCTAAAAATAATTTTCTGTGAAGGTCAACAACCATCATTAACGAAAGCAACACATAAAATGATGAATACACATTCAAGATAATGTGTTGTTTACTTGATTATACCATCAGTTTCTTCAACAATTTTGAGACATCGTCAAAATTTATTGCTCTCCACCTCTCACCGAAAGATAAAAACATTTTCCAAGACGATAAAATATGAATTCAACTATTTTAGAAAAAAATTAGCAGAAACAACTCATGTATTGAAATTCTTACGTGAACCACCACTGAGCAATGCAAGCTCCAAAAGATATCTCAATGATGAGAAATTATGATTGAGTCGAATTGAATGAAAAATTCTCGTCGGTTGGTAAAAACTATGCAACAAAGCAAAGAATTCAGGTGAAATTTGAAACTGAATAGCCTTCTCAGTGGAAAATCACCACTGAGTGAATAGCGTAATTAAATCATGCGACGACAATTTCAGGATTAATGTGCGATATTCTGTGGTCTGATCCAGATGCAAACGTGGTCGGATGGGCACCAAATGAACGTGGAGTGTCGTATGTGTTCGGAGCTGAAGTATTGGCACAATTCCTGCGCAGGATGGATCTCGATATTGTCGTCAGAGGGCATCAGGTATTAAAATTGCTTCTGTCTGATTAAATCTACCCACAAATTGTCCATTGATTCCTTGATCCATCAGTTTTGCCGATCACCTCACCTGTTTGTGCCCACCTTTTTTGCATCCAGATCGTATGTTTCATTTATATTGTTCCAGTAAAAATGATGTGATGTATTCGTTTATTTCATTGCTATCGCTTTCAATTGCCTCTTATTACATCGCTTGAATATGACTGTATTCAATACAACATATATTCTTGCAATCCAGCTATTAGTTCCCCCACAAGAATCACTTGGTACCTGAAAGTTTGCTCATTCCATTTCATGTTTTGTTCCGAATAATGTCAGCATTGACAAAATACTCTTTTTTTCAGGTTGTTGAAGACGGTTATGAATTCTTTGGGCGCCGCGGTTTGGTGACCATATTTTCCGCACCAAATTATTGCGGTGAATTCGATAATGCTGGTGCTATTATGAATGTTGACGAGAACCTTCTCTGTTCATTCCAGGTGACTGATTTTCTCGGAATAAATGTTTATCGCCAAACAAAATTTCCCAAATCCGACCTCTCCGTCTATTCCACCGACAGAACTGCAATGCTGCAAATTTCATTCGCGTCTAATTGCTCAACGACGTTGTGCAATTTTTTCAGTCGCATTCTGCTTGCAACTCATGTGAGCGCAATTAATGCCATTACAATAAGTTTTTATGTGTTCATTTGTTGAATTCATGAAACCAGCCGCACCTCAATGCAAATTTAATGCCGTTTTCTAGTAAAACTGTTATTGGTCCACATAAAAATGTTTCTATGCAAAACGTCGCACAATTAAATGCGTAATGTCATTGAACTTGATATAACGGTGCATTATAAGTGGAATCCAAATAATGATCCAGTTCCTATTTGAAGAGCATGATAATTTATATCCTTTTTCGTAAGAAGTGCACACACACAAATATTCGACCATTCACCATCCCGCATAACGCTGAATGAAATTTTCAATCATTCACCTCAAAAAGACTCTTCATTAAGGATAATTCTATGACTAAATGAGTTTATAGGTGCTTTGATGTTGAGCATTTCAACTTTTGTACACAAACAATTTCTTTAATTTCGATGCCGTCATCTGATATGCGCATGTCACAATAAAATACCGAAATGAGTGTCCTTGATGAGTGCATTACAGAGGAATGAGATCAAAGGGAAGATTGAATAACGTGAAGTAAAGTTCTATCGCTGATTCGTGAATCCTTTTAACGCATGAAATTGTGGATAATTTGCTTTAGCGGACGGCTCTAAAATGCGTTTCGTGACATCCAGTTCAGTGGACCTCTTGTTTGAAGAAATCTAATCTGAACAATGGGGTGCATTGTTGCACGCAAATATCTGATATCATGCTACTGATCGAAACATTACTGATTACGTTCCATTTCTATTAAGATTACTTATAACGCTTTGCTGATACCGAATGTTGCTTCAGATACTCAAACCGTCGCCATTGGCGTTGAAAGAACGTGGTAATATGCTTGGCTCATTGATAAAAGTACCACAAATTGAAATGAGAACAACAAAATTGTTCCGTCGTGGTATGATTTGAATGAAGCCAAAAACGGCGAATCGAATCGAGATGACAAATATGATTTCTGTGACTTCAGCGGTCGCCCTACAAGAAAGGTGAATCAATCTCTGAAAAAGACGATACTCGTCCGAACAAAATTTAAATCTTCTCCATGTTACTATTCTAACTGTACACTTGATTTTTGGATGGACTAATTAAATCCTTCTCGTGAGCACCGTTGAATTGAATGAATACTGCGCATGTATGCGAAATTGTTTTTGTGTGTGTAAACTTCAGCAGATATTTTTCTCATTTCCATTTGTACCAAATTTTCGTCTTTTGGTTTTTAAAAAGTTTTCACGTGATTCAACTCATCTTTTTGGCAAATTTTTGCGCTTTTTGCTGCTTATTTGCTTCGTTCATTTCGTGAAATTTTTAGGATAAAAATCTCCTTCATTTGGTCTTTGAATTTTGCATCATGAGAGGAGGAAGTTGGTGTTGAAGAATTGCATTTAGTATTTCATTTGCTGCGTTACGACTGAAGAGTTAATGAATGAAAAATGCATTTCGATGAGAAAATTCGGTTCGGATGAAAGCGATCATGTCTGCTGCCGTTGTCACCATTACTGAATAATTTCGATTCTGTCTTCACTCGATTGTACCATAGAATCATTGAAAGCTGAACGAGATTACTGTATCATAGTGCCTTCGAGCATCAAATATGGATACTTTTCAAAGTTTTCGTTTATAAATACCAATCTATACATACGAATATATCATGTATAAATAAAAACATTAGTGCGAATTTCATGATTTATAATAATATAAATGTCATTTATGATATTAATAATGTAACGTGGTCTTTTTTGCGTGTTTTCTGTTTTTGTTTGTTATATTAAGTTGCGATTTTGGCTTTGTGAAGATGTATTATATTTTCATGCTGTGTGTTATTGTTGTGTAATTGGTTTTATTATTGGTCTAATCAGTCCGTTCAATTTAAGAAGTGAGCAGAGAACTCTGAGGAGTAAAAGTTATCCCAAAAATTGTTTGCAGATCGAAGAGGATCTGTGAAAAATAATCACAAAACTCTTTTCTGATAAGGGCACATCACAAACTTTTGATGAGAACTCTCTGCGCAAGTCACTCTCAGAAACATCTGCAACATCTATTCTGCCAACGCTTTATAACACAAAGTCGAAACCATAATGATTGAATGCAGTATGAGAACAAACATCAAAGTCTCGTGAATTTTCAAAATTATCCATATTCAAGCATTATTGAAAACACATTTGATTCTTCAGCTTTTCGGAGAGTTTTTTCCCCTTTGGAAATGTTCCGATCAGAGAGTATCAGTGGATTAGAGTGAATCAGATTGAAAAAATTCATTTATGAAATTCAATTGAATGGGTGAATGAATATAGTATATTGAGCATTAGTTTCATTATAATTGCGGCCGTGAATCTTTCGTTCAACTATTATCTGTATTTCACAGAAGGAGTATTTCGTCATCGTTTTGTATTTCATGTACTCCTTTTTTTCAGCTTGAATCAGTCGTTCATATCAAGTTGTTGTGTGATCTACTGTAATTCAGTTAATGCTGTTGATTTTGTGCTATGCTGACTGTACGATGCGATTTGACTCTCTGAATTTTGAAGATGCATGATATTTTGATCGTTGAGTAGTGCTTCATTCAGATCATCCAGTACTCATTCATTTTTGTGACAGTGTTGTGGAATCGTCCGAAAATACAATCAGATGATCAGAAGGGACTAACGGATCTATCCATCTGTCCAACACTAATTTAGGTACTCAAAAAAGTTCTTCTAATACCAGATTGGTTCGTTAGTCTTTAGTTGATTAATTGTACGGGTTTATTTGTATTTTCTGTGTTTTCGAAAAATAATATTTCATCGTTGTTTCACGAAATAATTTCTCATGATTCTTATTCCATGATTCACTCGATATGAATCAATATGTAAATTCCGTAGTATGCATTACTTTTGAACTTTATTTTGTTGTTGTTTACAGTTGAATTTGGTGCAATTTCGATGAATTTGTTTATTCGTCATATTACATAAATTGTTTTTCTTTTCACTACCCACCATTTATGACAACCGACGGATCCCACAAGAATATGTCAGTCAGATGCGAATGGAAAAAATGCACGAAATGAAATTCAATTCCTCAAATTCATCTCATTTCCAATTTTCTTTCTTCAGCTCACAAATGACTTCCTAAGTTAAAAAATGATGCCAAACGCAGTTGTTTGTCAGTCGCTGCCAATACAGTACAATTAGTCCAAATTCCTCTCTTGTTCTTGATCAACCATCTATATACAGTTTCAAAATTGAAAAATGAATTGACTATTCCCAATGAAAATATTGCTACGGACCAGGAAATGATCAATTTTTGTCGAGTCGGAAGTCTAGCTAATCAGTATTCCATGATTCTGACAATACACTTGAGGAAAGTTTGACTCATTAAGAGTTCCTTCTGCAGCAGCAATCCCTCAGAGATTTTCCGCTTCACGGCATCTTCGAAAAAACAGACATGTTAATTGATCACTAACTATCCTTGACCACTAAGTGCGCAATCAGTTTGCTTGTCCACCGACTGATTGTGAGTATATTCCAAGATAGCTTCGTCAATATTACTGTGTGCCTCTGGTTTGACTCGAGACACGGAAGCAGTCAACCCATTCGACCGATGAAAAGACATCAATAAGTATGAAATGCGCCTAAGACATATCAGAATGAAAAGACATCAATAAGTATGAAATACGCCTAAGACATATCAGAATGAAAAGACATCAATATTGATTAAAATGAAAGAAATGCTGTTCGCATTTCATCGCTAATCTAGCAAATACGCTTTTCTGAACGAATTTTCGTACTTTGCTGTCAATAATAATCTAGCAAAAGCCATACCATATCATAAACCACTATTCTCTTTTCACGATTGCAGAGTGCAATCAAATCGACCGCATAAACGATGAATCAATGAAATTATATTTACGACGCGTGTTGCAATGAAAATTTTAACGTTCAGAACAAAATCACAAAACAGTTGTTGACGTTTTTTTTTNTTTTTTTTTGTTCGTAAGTATACGTTTAACAATTCACTGAATACACTTTTGCCATCTTATTTATTTTACATTTAAAAAGCTCAAATGTATTGAAAGAAAATGTGATGCAGTTCATTTGAAAATGAATCAATCGTCTGAATGTTAAAATTTTTAATGACACTTCATGAAAAAACAAACGATTGAATGCTGCTTTATGATCACATAAGGATTATTGCTTTCTATTTTAATTTTTTTATGTCAAAGGCATCACACTCTCGAACTCACTAATACTTTATAAAACACAAAAGCAGATGTTGTTTATATGATTAGCCGTTATAATTGGTCTTTGAACAGCTCCTGACAGACGTTTCAAATTGAAATTTTCATGGAATGATTGGTGAGAAGATATCTTTCTGTACTTACGCCAAATGTAATTCCAAACTGCTCTTTATTCAGAGCAGAATGTTTTTCGCTTCAGTCATAGTTAGCCATATGCACTACGGGTTTTTTGAAGATCGTCATTTTCGATATGCCGTATGAGAGGATTAAGAAAATTTGCAACCGAAAAAATGAGAAGCCTTCAGATCAAGACCTGTAATCTTATGAATTCATCAGATGAGTTGTTGAGCAGCCTTACTGTGTTGAGCCATAGCCTTATGAGGCTATCGGTCAATTACTTTGAAATGATCATAGATCATGTTGTCAGGCAAGTGAAAACTGAATGCAGTGTCCAAATACATAATAATGCAATTATCTATCGAATGAGAATAACTTGCATGTTTGCTGACATTTAAGATTCCGAAGATTAAAAGGGTGGATGCATATCTCTGCTTCTGGGCATATCCCTCTCCGTCAGTGATAACACTTCATCCTGAATCTTTCACTACTTTCGGGAAATTATATTCTGTTTATAATCTGATTGAACACTACTGAAACTATTAGCAAAATCGAAGCTGACAACAACGAGTAGTCAGTGTTCATAGTTCAAAGCTTGCACTTTGAATAAGAGAAGCAGCTATTCAGCTCTCGCATGTGTTTCAGCAATTTGTCGGAACGACAGTGATAGGGATGAAGTAATCATTGTGTTTAACGCATTTTATGTGTTTATCAGGGTTTATCTGAAAATGAATGCGTGCTCTATTGTGACGTGTGCTTGTGTTCAAAATGAATCTAATTGATAGAGAGTAAGAGTACAGCTGCTTACATTCCCGCATGTATTCTTGTACATTTGATGAACAATACCATTTACTCTATACCTGTATATTCCATTTAATGAACAATTCATCTACGCTTTCTTATCATAAAAAATGTCAGTGTTTTTTGTCAAATCTTTGTGCTAAATAAATAAATTCGTTCTGACCATCACATAATTTAGGTGACAGATGATTGCTGCCGAAAAATTCAGCCAATAATAGCATCGTTACATCATGGAAAGAAAACAAGAGATCTTATTGTTAAATATTCATTTGAATTTTGCATTTTCACCTCTAATGAAAACGATTTTGTGGAAAAAATTGTGAAATTTATTTTTGGAAAAAAATGCTTCACCAATAGTATTGTAGATGGGGTTTGCAAGTTGCAAATATAGGCTCGGATATAATGTCATCTATGGATCCATTATGATTCGAAGCTTTCATTTTGATTCAACCCGAGATTTGGTTCGAAATTTAGCAACGAATTTTAATCGATTCGTTGAATCATAGAACCACTCAGTGATGAGTAGAACAAAACTGCTATGAACTCAAAAATGCAGCTACTTTTTGGTTAGCTAAAATTTGAACATTGATGCGATGACGAAAGACATTTTGAATTTGCATTCATTATTCAGTCACATTTTCTTACTTGCCGTCCAAGTGACCTTGAATCAAAAAAANAAAAAAAGAAAACAACAAACAGAAATGATACAAACAAACGATTTTTACGCAGTCATGTGAAAATAATTGAGTTAAAATCGACAACAATATAAACACGAGGT